AAATGAATGAGCGATATCAATCTGTATAACAATACACGAGGAGGTTCGAAGAGATTTACCTGTCTTCGGGAATCTCGAAAAGATGGGTCGGACAAAAAGACCTTGACCACTCAAACGGGACTCGGGCTTCAGAGTTCGAAAAGCTCGCTGAACAATTGCTCGCGAACCAAATCTGACCTCGATGACGGAGGCGACCTGGACTCTGTGGCGGGCGTCGACGAACAGAGCCGCCGGAAGTGGAAGGTTCTGCCGAATTCGATGGCGGACGTCGTCTGCTACGGTGTCCTGCTGCTTGGAGGTGGGTGGCGACCTGATTCCCTGATGGTCGACGGCTTAGAACGCACGGGGAGGATGGTGCTCGCCGGAAACTATGGAAGCTTCGCCGATCGAAGGTTCACGAATTTATTTTTTTTTTCTGCGAACAGAGTGAGAGATTTGGGAGCACTGGTCGATGGGTTTCAAATCTCAGGTTCCTCACCGTTTAAGTAGACGAGATGGATAAGGGTGAGAACGTGCACAATCAGTTCACGAAAAATCGCAACAGATTTCAAGCTGTTTGGATCTGTACCTGGTCGTGCGCAGAAGGGAAGAGAAAGAAGACATCTGATTTGGGCACTTCAAAATTTGAGCCAAGAACTGGATAAATAAATGGGCCAAATAACACTTCTATTTTTTTTTTGGGCCAATATGAAGACAAGAGTTTGGGCCATTTAAAACAAATGGGGCTGGAAACAATTCCCTTAAACTCGTCCGAATATCAAATTCGAAGCTCGACATGGTCACTCGATAATTAAAATAAAACGCGATATCAATATATATAATACACACAATATTTTAAAATAAGAAGATTAATAATAAAATATGCATTTAGACAAATAGTTACAATTTGACAATATATAGTATTTAAGACAATTAATATTAATAATAGCAATATTACTAATAAATAAATAATAGCAACTTGACAGTTAATAGCAATTATAACAATAATAATTATAATGATAATAATAATAATAAAGACAATTTAATAATAGCAATAATCAATAATTACTCCCAAATAATCCACAATAAAACGGGATATTACAAAATATGTAACATAACTGAATTTGATGCTTTTCCATTCATTTCCCAAGTATTTAACAACTTGTTGGGCCCCATGCGCTGTTTTCACTCAGCTGGGTAAAACCCATCGCTATTTTCACTAAACAAGAAAATGCTAAATCCAAAAAAGGAAAATAAAAGATAAAATAGAAAATATAACAATAATATTCTCCACTTCAATGCTTCATCCCCATTACTCCACGTGTCCATCTAAAATGGCACCCTCATCTCTGCGATCAACGGTCGTGATCTTGCCACGCGGTGACTTCACGTTCTCACTTCCTTCTTCCGACATAACCCTAGCTTTTGTCTTAGTTCCCATCTTCACCAAATCAATCGATATGTTTTCTTCTTCATTCTCAACACACCATTTCTACCCTTTGTTCGGATCTCTCATGTTATTCATCAGATTCATAACATTTCCCTCTCCTTCTTTAGATCCTTGACCACAAGGATCAAATCCCTTGAATTTTTTTCTCAAATGCTTCTTGTCCTCCCAAGAACAGATGTTCATCGATTTACCACCCCAGCTCACCAGAAATTGTTGCACCTCTTCTTGACCTCTCATTACAGTTCGATTGTCCAGGACCTCCGTGGGTTCAGCAAGGAAATGGCCATCCAGACCTAGATCCAGCAGCTTTTGAACAGATAATCCCCATCACTCATCTTCTTCATTAGTAATGAGACATGGAACACTGGGTGAACCTTAGAGCCCTCAGTTAATTCTAACTTGTAAGCCACTTGACCAATTCTCTCTATGACTTTGTAGGGTCCGAAGTATCTCGAACTTAGCTTGATGTTCTTCCTCAATTGGACAGAATTCTGCTTATATGGTTGTAGCTTCAGGTAAGCCATCTCCCCAACTGCAAATTCCTTATCGACCCTATGCTTATCTGCATACATTTTCATTCTGTTCAGGGCATCCATGAGATTAGACCTTAAGTTTTGCATCATCAATTTTCTGTCCAACATGAGTTCCTTAACATCCTGGTTTGAGGCATCCAAGTAGGCTCTAGTGGACAGAGTGTTAGGGGAGTAGCCATAGAGTGCTTGAAAAGGGGTAGATTTCAATGAGGAATGGTAATTAGTGTTATACCAGTGCTCTGCCATAGGTAACCAGCTGGACAATTTTTTAGGTGACTAGTGTGTCATGCATCTTAAGTAATTCTCCATGCATTGGTTCAGCCTTTCAGTCTGCCCATCTGTTTGTGGGTGGTTGGCTGTGGAGTAACTTAGAGTAACCCCAATCAACTTAAACAGCTCCTTCAAAAAATTGTTGGTAAAAGTTATGTCTCATGTAAGTCACTATGCATGTGGGCATCCCATGGAGTCTGTAAATATTGTCTATAAACATCTTAGCCACCCTCTGTACAGTGTAAGGGTGAGACATGGCTATGAAATGGCCATACTTAGTGACTGTCAATGACCACTAGGATAGTATCTTTTCCCCCTGACATTGGCAGGCCCTCCACAAAATCCATGGAGATGTAGGTCCAAGGTTCATTGGGAATAGGTAGAGGTTGTAATAACCCAGAAGTAGGCTCATGGTTGGGTTTGTTAATGCTGCAAATATCACATTTTGCAACAAATGCAGACACCTCTTGTTTCATCCCTAACCAGTAAAATATCCTCTTCATCCTCATGTATGTACCCTGAACTCCAGAATGACCCCCAACTGATGAGTTGTGCATGTAAGAGATTAACTCCCCCTTCAACTTAGGATCAGGACCAATACACATCCTTCCCTTGTATCTAACAATGTCACCTTGCAATGTGCAGTGTGGGATTGACTCAGGTGCCAGCAATAGCTTCTCCCTTAGCTCCTTATAAGATGAGTCCCCCTCATAGCTATCCACAACCTATTGAGTCCACTTGGGTATCAATGAAGTAGTGGCTGCACAATTAATTGGATTAATCCTTGCTCTAGAAAAAGCATCAGCTGCTTTATTCTCTTTTCGCTTTTTGTATTGGACCTCATAATCCAATCCCAACAGCTTAATAATCCCTTTCTGTTGCCAAGGTGAATTGGCCTTTTGGTCTAGGATATACTTGAGAGACCATTGATCTGTTTTAATAATAAATTTGTGCCCCATTAGGTAGTGCCTCCACTTCTGAACAACCAGTAAAACTGCCAAAAATTCTTTTTCATAAACTGAGAGTCTTTGATTCTTTGGGAACAGAGATTTGCTTAAGAATGAGATAGGTTGGCCCTCCTGCATTAATACAGCCCCAATGCCATATCCACTTGCATCTGTCTCAACCACAAAGGGTTTGGAAAAATTGGGTAGGGATAGCACTGGTGCAGTTGTCATTGCTTCTTTAAGTCTTGCAAAAGCCTTATCTGCCTCTTCCCCCCCACTGAAATTGATTCTTTCTCAATAGGAGAGTGAGTGGTTTGTTGATCTTCCCGTACCCCTTTACAAACCTTCTATAGTACCCAGTGAGCCCCAAAAACCCCCTCAATTGTTTGACTGTAGTAGGTGTATGCCACATGAGCATTCCCTCTATCTTCTTGGGGTCGGTGGGTACCCTTCAGTAGATATGATGTGCCCTAGGTACTCCACGTTAGGGTCACCAAACTGACATTTACTTTGTTTGGCATATAGAGTGTTGTCCCTTAATAATTGAAGCACAACCCTCAGATGTTCACAATGTTCTTCCCATGATCTACTGTAGATCAATATGTCATCAAAAAACACCAGCACAAACTTCCTTAAACAATTTTAAAAGACTTGATTCATCAAGGACTGAAATGTGGCTGGAGCATTACACAGCCCAAAGGGCATAACCAGAAATTCATAGTGTCCACTGTGGGTTTTGAAAGCAGTGAGGGGCCTGTGTTCTTCCTTCATTAGGATTTGGAAGTAACCAGACCTTAGGTCTATTTTAGAGAAACAACTTGAACCCTGTAGCTCATCTAGCAACTCCTCAATTACTGGAATTGGGAACTCATGTTTGATTGTGAGGCTGTTCAGGTACCTGTAGTCCACATAGAGTCTCCAAGTTAAATCCTTCTTTTTCACCAGGAGCACTGGAGCAGAAAATGGTGACTTGCTGTTCTGAATAATGCCAGATTTGAGCATTTCCTTTACAATCTCCTCTATGTTGTTCTTCTGATCATGGGACACCCTATAAGGGTATTGCTGCTTAGGTTGACTGCCAGCTTTCAGTGTAATGTGATGCTCTATTTCCCTTTTTGGGGGAAGTCCCTGTGGCTCTTGAAAAATGTCTTGGTATTCTTCCAAGATTGGTTTCAAGATCTCTTTCCCACATGCTTTACCTGCTTCCATAGTCAACAAGTACACCTCCTCAATTTGACTTTCTCCCTCACAATGAATCATACTGAGTAATGAATGTTCAGAAATTTGATGGCAATTAGCCTCTGGATTTAGGGCCTGTAGTGTAACCCTTTTTCCATTTAGGTTGATAGAGACAACCATTTTGTTGTAGTCCAGCTCTATAGGGGTGCAAGTCCCAAGCCAGTCTCATCCCAGTACAACATCACTTCCTTCACTTTGCAGTACTCTGAGAGAATGTGTCACTTCTTGACCCTGCAGATCCCATTTGAGGTTAGTGGCCAGTAAGTGACTAATGAGCTTCTGTCCATTAGCCACCTTCATTTTTAGTGGTTTGATTGGAGTTAAAGGGCACCCTAATGATTTAGCTGTTGACTCCTTAATAAAACTTAAGGTGCTCCTAGTATCCAGCAAGATGTGCAGCCTCTTATCCCCAATGTATCCAAAAAACCTCAGAGTAGTAAAGCCTCCTTCACCTGCCATTGTATTTAGTGAAATGTGCACTTCCTCAATAACTTCATCAACCCCAACAGGCTCTAAGTTGCTCAGATCTTCAGACTGAAGATAGGCCAATTCCTCAACTTTTGTCATTATCATTTAATTAACCCTGTGTTTACACCTGTGTCCTGGCACAAACTTCTCATCACAATTATAGCACAAACCCCTTTCTCTCCTTGCAGCCATTTCAGAAGAAGTAAGTAATTTGGTATTTGTTTTTGGAAAAGTGGTCTGTGGGTTCCTATGAGTGGTGTTGTTGTTTTGTGTTGCCTTTTGAACATAAGTTTGTGGTGTTTGTGAGTAGGACCTCTGAGTGTTCTTCACCCTCTTTGTGATGGCATCCAAGGTATGTAGTTGTTGTTGGCCTAATTCAATTGTTTGTTGAAGTGTCCTAGGGTTGAACATGTGCAAAAATGATTGCAATTCTTCACTGGGCCCACTTATAAAGCTAGCTATATAATAGTCTTCAGAAAACTCTCTCTGATTCATGAGCTGCATACATGCCTTTAATTCTTCAAATTTGTCAACATAATCAGCATAAGAACCCGTATGCCTTAGCTTGTTAAATTCAGCAATAATTTTGACCTCCTTTAGCTCTTCAAACCTGGCAGACACAATTTCTACAAACTGACCCCAATTTAACTCAAGTTGTTTGGCACTCAGATTTTGGAACCATAAGGCAGCTTTTCCTTCTAAATGCATTGAGGCAAGAGTGACTTTCTGAGTTTCAGAGACATTAGGAACAAATTTGAAATACCCATTGCACTTTAGAATCCACGCCATAGGGTTAGAGCCATCAAATCTGGGGAATTCAATCTTAGAAGTTGGATTCATGTAATGAATGTTTTGTTTGCCTGCTTGTTCTTGCTGTAGCTGCAACTTATGTTTGACAAGTATGGATCCTTCATCATCACTGTCTCTGTTTTTGTTCAGAAGTTGAAGTTGCAGGGATGCTATGGTGTTTGCTAGGTGATCAAGCTTGCCAGTCAACTCAGATTTCTGCTCATAAAGCTCCAGGTTAACATTCTCAATCACCCCTTTGATTTGTGAGCTGATTACCTCGATTTTCTCTTGTATTTTTAATTCTGAAGCTTCCCTTTTCAGGATCGCGGTTTGTAGC